CCCCCCCCCCCCCCACACACAGTGCTGGAGGGCTGTGCAAGTTTTTTCGGACTATTGGTGAGTCTGGCCGGTGCTTTCTTGCTGGTGGAGCCTTCTGTGTTAGGTATGTTGCCTTTTGTCCTTCACCCTTTTTATAGATCAAAAAAATTATATATCTGTGCAAGTGTGCCGCTTCGGCGGCAGACGGGTGTCTGGGCACTTCCCGCTCCACACAAGCGTCGGGAACCTTGCACTTTCTATTACATTGCCCACCTATACTTTTTTTTGTTCCATGGATCAGGGTTGCATACCTGCCGACCGCTGACAGCGACCGCCGACCGTTTTGCAGCCGACCAGTAGGGCCGACCGGTCCACGGTCTGCGGACCAGTATGGGGGTATTGGGGGCGGGTAGGAGGGTGTTAGGGGGCGGTTTGGGGGTGTTGAGGGGGGGGTAGGAGGGTGTTGGAGGGCGGTTTGGGGGTGTTGGGGGGCGTGTATGGGGGTATTGGCGGCGGGTATGGGGGTGTTGGTTGGGTTATCGGGGGTTATGGACTCAAATGAAAAACATTGAGGATGTGTTTTCCTTTTTCTGTTTTGCGGGGTGCCGACAACCCCCAATGGGTAGTACCGACCATCTGACCCGTCGACTGGTCAGCAGCCGACCAGTCAAGGGGCACCGACTGTCGGGGTATGCAACACTGCCATGGATGGTTTATGATGATTTGTGAACGGAATCGGAGAGAGAATCCGTTTTCTTTTCTTTTTTAGAAAACACACACACACACACACACACACACACACACACACACACACACACACAGAAGGCTGTGACATTGGTCTGCACCGTGCCATTCGAAGCAGCACCTGTGACTGCGAAAATTGGATGCGGTGCTTCCACAGTCCACAACCGACAGGTCTGTAGGGGTGGCCACTTACCATAGGCAATAGCTGATCCTCGACTCAAAATCTTACGCAACCCAAACAATAACTGACCTCATGTGCCAGTCTAGAGTAGTCTGTTCCTGCGATGAGTGTTTAGAATTCTTCGAAGTTCATCATATACCTCTCCCCTCCCCTTTGCATGTCATAATCTATCCTGCCCTTCACATATTTCTCTCCTGCCCTTTGCACTCCAGTTCCCCCCACCCCACACTCCTGTAAAACTCCGCCTTCTATCCCTTTCCCTCCACCCTCCCCTTATGTGCTACTCCCAAATACATACGAATGAGCATCGTTAAGAGAACTGTTACAGACAAAGTATAAGCTGAAGATCTGAAGTGCAATGAAGAGGATTATGAAGATGTTAAGTGAAATGCACAGGGGCATACCTTCCCCTTTACTCTGCCTCCTGGTATAATGTGCAAGTGGGCCGTTAAGGCACACTGCGTTGTGGGAAGCTGCCGCTTAACCACAAGCAACGTGGGCAGCCTTGTGCGTGCGAGGCATAGTAAAAGAGGAGCTGTTGCCCCAAAGAAACCCCAGCTAATGGTTCTATTATGATTCATGTGCCTTGCTAAAGAGGTGAAATTGTTAAATTGTTGGGCTGTCTCAACCCCAATCTACTCATCTGGGTGGAATAGGGGCTGTTGTGGTGGAAATTCAAATAGACACACACACACACACACACACACACACACACACACACACACACACACACACACACAGAGACACACACAGTTATGGTTTTTTTTTTTTTTTTTTTTTTGGAATTGTGTACACCGAACGTGACATGGAGACATGCACGGCACCGATGCATTGAGTCTGACTAGCACACACACATTATGCAACAGAGTCAAATCACCACGCATTGCACCCCCCGAGCTGATCAGTGAGACGGTGATTTTCCCAAGTACGCCATTTTTTCCCCCTACTCCAGCCCACCTCCTCCTGAGGGTCGTTCCTACGCCGAATCCTGCTTAGGCCATACTCACACTAGCACCATCGCAAATGTATCTGACCGCATTTACAGCCAGATATGGATGTATCTGGCCACAATTACGTCCAAAAATAAGTAAAAAACGCACTAGTGTAAGTATGCCCCTAGACTGATTCCCTTGCAGCACCTTATGCCCTCCATCATTCATGAACAGAGAGCCACATGGTGTGTGCAGTGCCTTTTTTCTTAAATATATATAGAAAAATAGTCTGTCTTCTCCTCATACGGGGGGCCAGCTGCGTTTTTGCTACCCTATTTTCTTCTCTCAATATCGCACCTTCCGCATACTAGCTATACTTCGCCCATCAATCACGCCACCATCCTAAGACAACCGGGTGAACAAACTCCCATCCCTGTGCAGTTGCTTTCTCCTTTTTTTCTTTTTTTTGGCTAGTATTTAGGATTCCACATGCTGCTGAGCAATTTACGACCCCTTCCACTGAATTGACCCAGTGCTACCTAGCCATGCACTTATGCCCGGTCTTCTGCACCAGGTCGTATAGGCCCATATAATTTCAACCCACATGCTATTACACAACAACAACAAGAACAACAACAACAGCACAGGGCATACGTACTCACACTAGGACGTTCCTGCTATGCATCGGGTCACAGTTACAGCCAGATTCCATCAAGAAACTCAACGAGTGTTTGGCAAGTTCTTCCTATTTGGCCAATTTAAAACGCCCAACCCACCATGACGAGGGTGATATGAGAACTGAAAGAAGTTTAAGAGTCTGTGCTTAGAAACGATCCCTGCGAGGTGTGTGTGTGTGTGTGTGTGTGTGTGTGTGTGTGTGTGTGTGTGTGTGTGTGTGTGTGTGTGTGTGTGTGAGAGAGAGAGGTGTGTGTGTGTGTGTGTGTGTGTGTGTGTGTG